AAGTGAGAGCGTCGAACGCACTCTCATAATCTCTGATTACTACTAGTTATTAATGACTATAGAATCACAATAGAAAACTAAGATATATTAAAATTCTAACTTGGCGCCGAGGCTTGGGGGATAAAAAAATAAATTTATTGTCGATCCCTCATCTTCCATGCCTTTCTTTTATTTTATGTCCTTAAACCTCGGATATTCATAATGGTAACTAGCTTCGTTTCAAGCGCCTCAAGCCTAAATCCAAATTGTAAGCCATAGTTTTGTCGGGTCTTGCTGTAGATTTTTTTTGGCAGGATATACATGTAGTATTTGACGGTGGCCAGCGACGAAGAGATTGGTACGACTACGCAGAACATGGTGCTAACACAAACTGCAAATAACAAACACCTGAGAAAAATGTCAACACTTTGTGATCAAAGATTCTATCATGACAGTGCACGTTTATGAGAGAAAATGTATTTCGTTTAGGTGATTAATTAGGTTGCTTTGTATTTAGTTCCCATTGGGATAATCAGACCTTATATACATGTACCACTCCTTGTGAATATCACATCACTTGACGCTGACCAATTTACAAGGCTGTTTTTTCCTTATTGTATAAATATAGTTGTTTAAAATAGCGTGTAACATTTTCCTTTATTTTCTTGCTTGTAACCTTTATTCAGCGTGCAGATACGGTTATTGCTGGCGGCTCCCTCCACTATGACATTATTTGTTGTATTATTTGTTTTCTTTACTTATAATAGAATTGTTTCCTATATTCGGCTGAGCGAAGCGAAAGAGAATATAATTTGGATTTTGGCTTCAGCTTTCGGCTTTTGTCTGATACCGAGCTTTTGTTTTGATCACATTCATACATGCACCTCCTTTTACACAGTGAATCGCGATAATTACAGAACTGTAGAGAACGTATTCTGCCGTTTCTCTAATAGTCGAGTCTGTGATGTTTCACTCCTCAGGAAAAATTAAACGATGGGATTTTTTTTCCCTTTAGCCAGTAAGCTCCTCCACCAAACGCTGTTATTGAACAATTCTCTGACAGAAACAGCCGAGTCCCTACGTCAGTTTACCTTTTGCGAAAAGAGAGGTCATCCATGGTATTTGGAAATTTGGAAATTTAGACATTTTCCAGTGTTCTGGAATACTAACATATTGCGAAACAAGAGGTGAAGGAAGTCGACTGATGAAACATATACTAAACACGAACGAACGCAGAACGATGAAATCACAAATAGGAACTAAGAATGACCACACAGTGAGTACGCCAAAGCTGAAAGGAAACCTCTCCTGGATGCTGAAAGAAGTTCACTGAAATCAAACAATAGCTGATTGCTGAAAGTAATATTTTAGCGCTAAGAGTTGGAACCAAATGCACGAACATCAAACACTGGCCGACACGAGCACAAATTGGAAAGCGAAATGTTGTGAGTGTCATCTCTGAATGCCAAAAATCAAAAGTTGAAAGCAAATGAAATGAATGAATGAATGAACTTTATTCAAGTGTCAGTGTGTTTAGCTAGATATTAGCTATCTGTGGACACTAAAAGAACATTCCAACTACAAAATAAAAAAGATTAGAATTGGGATGCTACAACAGGAGGCTTCAAGAGATTTTTAAAATTTAATTTTAGTGTACAAATATGTAAATGAACTATAGAATATCGAAACAACAAGTTAACAACAGAAGCAGGCAAACTGCTTGCATCTACAAAAATAAGTGGTAGGTCGTTGCGTGACTTTTATTATTGTGATAAAGAGCAAGGCTCTTCCTATCATTTATCGATATATACAGTGGCAGTTACGCAAATCTGGTTTGATCTTTTCAATTTCTGGCTATGAAACAAAACTCATCACGCACATTAAGGAAAACAGCTCCTTTATCGTCAGATATAGATATCGTTAAACATAGCTGGGTCAATACTCAGTATATCATATATCTATCAACACGTTATAAAACATTAAATGAATGGTGATAAGACAATGTCCTCTTTCTGCTTTATGTAAACTCCACACCAGTAGCCAGGCCAGTCGCATACTTTTTGCTATATTTCAAGAATATGCAGTACTAGAACCCACCTCAGCCAATTTAAATAAAACTTCGAGCACCTTACTTCAGCCTTATTTCAGTTATATTTAAAAGCAAATTGAACGCGTTCAAAACAAAAACGAAATCCTATGTGTCGATTTAGAAGTAGCAGTAGTGGCTTTATTAGTCACTCCATTAAAACCAATTATAATCAAAGTGAAAGATATAATCGCTACATAGATGGATAAATAACCTCTCTAAAGCACGACTCTCAAAAGAGCCTTAAAAGTTGCAGATTTAGTTCGGCCTCGTCACTAAGACCAGATTTAGTTCTAACTAATGTATCTGCAATACCAGATCTCCTCACCAATTTACCAGAACTTGAAGCATTATGTTATTACTTTAAAGATGTATGTAATGCTTTAGAAGCTGTTTCTTCGAAGATTTGATGTTTTTCTTATCATTGTATTTGGTTCTAATTAAAAGATTTGCTATGCTAGATCTCCATACCAATTTACCAAAACTTGAGGCAATATCTTAACATTACCGTAAAGGCGTCTATAATGTTTTTGAAGCTGTTTCTTCGAAGATTTCTGTTGTGCTTATCATTGCACTAGTATATACCCCATGGCCTCAATGTGTTTTTTTCCATTATCTGGAAGGAATCTACCATCTGCTTCGTTTCCACACGTGTTATCGTCTCTAGGATCTCCTCCTGTGCCAAACCCGATTCTTGAATCAGGACTGTCACAGTCAACTTGTTCGTTACCCAGGATGCCAATTCTTGTCTTTGAAAATTCACTATCAGCATTGAACCCTTCTTTCGTACAGTTGGTCTGCAAAGAGGCATTTGAACCAATCAGCTTCTTCCACGTGTCACGACCCAGTGAGGTGTTGCGGTATCGCCCGTCAGCGATCAATGAGTACAGGGAGTTGGCGGTCTTGTTGATGGCAATGAAGTTGATCTGTTGGCCGATCTTCATACCAAGACAGATCTTGGAGAAGGGTGTGTTCCAGTAGGTCGGTAACTTGGTCTCTTGAAAGTCAAACCCAGTCATGCCTCCTGCAAGATTGTAGTTGGTCTTGTTGCTCCAAAGGGTAGAATCATAGTGGAAGGTAGTCTTGAAAAAATGTCGATAAAAGGTGATCGTTAACTATACAGCAAGAGATTAGGCTGTAAATTTATTGAAGGGTTTAGGATAAACAGTTCAAATTCATTGAACTAGTAAATGAATAAATGAGTGAATGAATCAAGCCGGCAAACAAAGAAGTGTTTTACAAATATTACAGAATTCTTTTTGATACTAAACTGCTAAGCAACAATCTGGAAACTGATGTTTGCCACGCCTTGTGTTAATCTTTCACAGCTTTGCACCAGTTCCCTTTCGTAAGCCCAGCAAAATCTTTGTTGTTTGGGTCGAGACAGCCGCTAGTATGTCGAAATATTGTGTTTTGTAAAACTTCCTGAAAATGTCTACGATAGTTACACGAGATAAAGAGGCGTCGAAGAATAATAGCTTTTTAGGCAAGCGAAAAGCAACGAAGCAATGGCTCTGTGAGATTATGGTATGTTGCTCGAAGGAAACTCCCATTTGAAAAGGTTGGGGATGCTCGTCGCCTTGCTCAGGGGTATAAACCAAGGATTTTGTTCTCTCTTGGGGTGTTCATGACAAAACGCAACTATTTTAGCTGCCAAAGTATTTTTTAAGGTGCAATCGAGCAAATATTAATCGTTTTTTTCTTATTTCCGTTTCTAGGCTCGATTTCCGCCGGTCTCTCGAGTCTGGTCTTGTAGCGCGGGCTCCTTACCTGAACAGTGACTGACAATCAAGCCTATTCTGTTTTAGGTGATATCTTTTAGGGGTCAAATAAAGCCCGAGCCACACCCAGATTGGTCTCTTTTAGGGGTTTAATTCAACGAGCATCCCCGACCTTTTCATATGGAAGTCCTCCCGGGATGTGTTGCCCAAGAACACAACAAAGTGACCCTGGCCAGCGATTGAATCAGTGTCAAACCGCCTAAGCATTAGCCTGCTACATTAACCACTCATAGTGTGAAGACAAATTAAACTGTTATACCTTGTTACCGTCAATCTTCATGACCAGCGTCCATCCACCACCTTCACAAGCTCCGAGGTCATCATTCATGTGACAGTAGATAGGGATTGCAACTGATCCTACCTTCAGCGGGTAAGCTTTATTACCTTCACTCCTGAAAAACAAGGCACACCTTGGTGAACCTAAATGAAGTTTAAGTTAAAATTAAATTCAGTGGGTTTGAAATTATTCGAAAGCTAATAGCCCTTTTGATTGTCAGCTTTTCTCATTTGCATTACAATGCAATCTAATGTGGATATTTCAAACTTCAAGCTTCAAACTTCCAACCTCCAACTTCCAACTTCCAACTTCCAACTTCAAACTTCAAACTTCAAACCTCAAACTTCCCGAAATTGCCTCACATACATTTTGAAAAGGGCTATTCTCAGGTACATTGAGGCACTTGTAAACCTTCTTGAAATATATTCCCTTCGTCATGGAGCAAGCACCTTTTGGGGCACTGAATTTGAGCGAGTTTTGTCAGGTATTATAAAAAGTGGGTTCGATTCGCTCGAACTATTGGTCTCGTTCAAAGTAGATCTCGCAACACAGAGCATTTAAAAACATAAACAAACAAAAAGACAAACAAACAAATGAACAATTTATGTACGCTACTTTCTTTATCATATACCAATGACAATTTTATTCATATTACATGAGAGTACTTTATTTAAACTGTTCCTCATAAATTCCGATTCAAATGCCACTTACAAATTTTTGTTGTAGAGCTCCTTGCAGTTTAACTCTAAGAAATAAAAACATTGACTTTAATATATGGAGGATATTACACGGCGGCGCGAAGACATGAATTTATCATGTTTTCGAGTGGTAAAAACAATATTTCACGCACGAGGTAAGCGAGTGGGTAAAATATTAATTGTTTTAACACGCACACGAAAAAAGCATAAATTTTAGCCACCAAGTAATTTTCTTTTTGTTATAAAGACGAATCTATCTTGCCATTTTCACTGACTGTTTGCGCACAAACTAACCGCAAAAGCGGAAAATGAGGTCATCATTAGCCTCACTTGTGAAGATGTGGAAATTACCCTCTCGGATACCGGATGAAGGTTCGTCTTAATTTAACATTTCCTTTCGTGAAATTGGGTTTAAATCAAACAATACCAAGTGGAAACAGCGTTTGACTGCGATTACTACATAACATCTCCTAGCTAAATCGATCTTTGCCTCTTATCATGACAAAATCTGGAAAGTTCCAGTAACACGAACGTGTGTTTCTCCTGCTACAATTTAGTAAATTGCTAAGTATGTTTGATTTTACCTATTTCGCAGTTTCCTCCCGTATAACCAATTGGACACAAACATTTGTATCTCTTGTCTAAAAATCCATTCAGGCAGGTCGCGTTATGAAAGCATGGGTTACTGGAGCACTCGTTCTGATAACGGAAAACAGTGCAATTCGTCAATGATGTTGAGTGAAGCAAGCGCAAGCAGGCAGGTAATCAAAATCAAACAAGCAACCAACCATTTCACAGTCACACAAAACAATAAAGGAACAACAACAACAAAAAACAAGCAAACAACATCAAAAGAGATAAACAAACGAAACAAGCAAACAACTGTGCAATGAAAGAATAGCACGGCACTTCTTTCGACTGAATCTGAAATTTTTCACCTCGGTGCCTCTGTAGGTAAACCCTTCTCTAAGTCTGAGATCGTCAGGGTGTAGGATGCGATCAGAATCACTCAATTGGCACAAGACGCGGTCTTTTATTGTTGGACCAATGTTGATTGACATACAGTGGCGTTCCATCGTACATCGCCCTATGCAAGAGCTACGCATTCCCACGCTTAAAGAGATATTTTTGATCACGTGACCTTCAAGTGCAAAGCCATCGACTGGTGAGGAGAATTTAAGGCGTCGACAGGAACCTGTAAACGAAAATAATATCAGAAAAAAAACAAGATAGGAATAACAACTACAACAACGAAAATGTTCAGAAACAGTCAATATTCAACTTGTGTTATCCATGTAGGGATGGGTTCGAATCCCGCTCAGGTCTGATTTGTTAGTTTTTCAGGCTTTAATTTCACAACTGCGTAAGTTGTGTGTAAAGCTGCGATGACCAATCATATCTTAATATCCATGTAGGTCACGTATGCACTGTAGGTTGACATTCGCAACGTGCTTTCGACTCCATGTTGAATTTAATGTGTGCGCTGAGTTGCCCACACTTAAACGTCTGCTCTTTCAATTGTTCGTATATAAATCCCCTGTATACTACAACGTGAAATCATTTTAAGGCATGATATATAACTATTTTAAATGCTGAAGTAAACCAATTATCTTGTCCCCCAAAAGTTGTTTTTAGAGCGATACCGACAACCCTGTCGGAAGCTTGAAGAAATAAAGCATAAGCGATTTCAAAGCTCGATGTCATGGCGTATTAACTGTGCCTTATACGGTTTTTTCGATGCACAAGAAGCAGAGCATCAGGGCGGTAAGACCAGTGGTGGAGAAGGAAAGACTTAACAAGTGGGAACAGGGACATCCCAACTCCCTTCACTCCCTTCCCTGCTAAATTTCATTTAATGAAAATGCCTTTCGCTCTTTTCTCTATACTTCTGACTGTGTCTTCCTCGAGGAAGAAAGGCACCGTGCCTGGGATATCTTTTGACCTTTGCCAGGAAACAAGAATAACAAAATAGAGGATTTTAATATGATTGGCAGCATAAAAAGTGTGGGCTTGAGGTCCTCTCCAGTCCCTCCCGCCTCGTCAAATACTTCTCTGAGTATGCAAATGACTGACACAGACGAAGAACAGTTGCACAAAACAATTGCGAGAGAAATTTATCAAATGATCTCCGCTTTTTCCTGCATTAAAAAATAAAGTCTTCATCAAACACATACCACAGAGGTAGATTTCAGAAGCACATGCTTTTAAGGTACGTTACCAGGACGATTTTGGTCTAAACAGCACTGAACATTAAAATTAACGAGGAACCTTCGCTAGTACAAGACATTCTCTTGGCGCATCAAAATGGAATCATTAGGTGAATTGTTGAGGGGAGACCACATTGTTAAAACATGTATTTCCTTTTTTTCGGGACTCAAAAACAGCTTTGGAAATGTTTACTGAGGCTTTATCAATCTTACAACACAGTACTCTACAGCAATAACTCATATAGCACCCCTTTTATAGCCTCATTAACCTATCCATTCACATTTAAGGAACCGTTAGAGAATTTTCAGCAGAGTCCTTGACCTTGAGAATTAATAAATATGTTGTAAGTCGAAGTATTAGCTTTGACAAACCACGCCGCTTTCCATAGTGCCAGCCTTGCATTCAGCTTTGGTTATATACTTCTAGTGACGTCTAGAACGATCATCGTGATCCGACAACTGCAGTATGTTTTGTTTCTTTCGTCTTCTGAACCTCTGCATTCAAAAGATTCCTTAGATAATATTTTTTAGCTTTTTGGATTTCAACTTTTTGGAGCCATACTCATGATAGTGTCCCGGCGTTATATTTACGTCTAGCCTTTGGTTCGGCTCCTTCGCAAGCAGGAATAATTAACGATCAACTTCAATATCCGTTTCTTCAATCGCATCGAGCGAGTAACAGCTTTTGCGAGGTTAGAATTTGTGGACGCCTCGCAAAATTGCCCAGTTAGGATTACTAGGAAAACAGTCGCGATGTGCGATGGGTTATGCAGCGGGAAAACCTTTAGTTACATGTAAAGACTATTTTGCGAAATAAACATAAAACACAACCATTCCACGTACCTTGCTCTGCAAATGCTAGGTCTTTGTGAATAGTAAACAAGCCCAGTGAAAGTAATACTACCAGCGAAGAGCATTGCATTTTTCTAAGCGTCTAAAAGGCCAGATACGGGTCACTTATTCCACAACATCGAGGCGAACTTTGAAAAGACAAGTTGTTGTACTCTTCGATAAAGCGGAAAAAGCAATATTCGGGCGATGATCAAATCGATAGACAGTTCGACCTCTGAAAATGATCAATTATTCATGTCATTTAATAAATAAAATAATGAAAGAGAAGACTGAGGTGACTAAAATGTCTTAGGAGGGATGCCATTTAAGCCTTGACAGTAGGATTGCTGTACTGAAAAAAAATAAAATATATTGGAGCGTGGATGAATTATTGTCTTGCGAACGCTTGAAGCCATTATCCTAACCAAACACTGTGGGTGATCAAATAAACCATTACGCGAGGAATTAATTAAAGATGTTAGACACTTAAGAGAAAGACGGTTGGCGAATTGTCCCTCAAAAACCATGGACCTCGCAAAATTTTCGTCAAATTTCAGGGGTCTCGCAGTGTCGTTTTTTGCATTTGTGTGCGTTTCGCAGTCTCGATTTTTTTTTCACAAAGCTGTCTCGAGGTACCGATTTATTTGTTTATGACTTATAATCTGGACGTGTCGGGCTGGCTCCTCTGGCTTTCAAAGAAAAACGCTAGTTTCGCCTTCTCCCAGTCTCGTGTATTTAGAATTCACCACTCCTAGATAGGTAAGAGACTTCCTTGTGGGTGTTGACTGGTTGCATTTGACCTTCAAGCTATGCAGGAAAAGAAAGGAATAAATAACTTTCGTTTTCAGATTTTAAAATTGCGTTATAAACAGACCAGTTGGTTTTGCATGCTCTGAATATTTTTTAGATAGTGAACGTGATTCTAGTGGCCATCATAATCAGTTATTCAATATAAATAGAATGCGTTAACTAAACATCAGAGAAAATGTTGGATAAAATATCAGTGGTGACATCTGCTCAATCATCTTGAGCGGAGTTTTAATGAAGAATCTTAAAGATTACAACACTCTACTCTTAGCTTTTAATTATGCGAACACTTTTCCTTCGCTCAGATAATAAGTAGCCCCTTTTTTCCTATCGTATTCCATTGGTTGGGTTCTATTGGGAAAAAGGAATTTTCGATCCCATCAAACCAGGTTACAAAGGCTGAAAAAGCATGGGTAGCGGCCGCTGTCGCTGTCGCTCTTCAGCTGCTCTCGACGCTGGTTGTAAACAAAAATAAAATTGATGCGTTGCTTGTCCTCGCATCATACACTAGTTATGGAAGAAGTAGGAGAATAAGTATAGGCATTTTTATAACATAGCCTTAGCGAAGCGCGCTTTCTGATTGGCTAATACACTCGAATCATTTGCCCGTGGGTTGCACGCTCACGTCAGTTTGTTTATTTGTACTTTTTCTCGGCAATGTTGCTCATCGATGTTGACACTTAGTAAAGCATAATTCCTATTTTTCTCCTCCTAAAATATGGAAAAATCTAATAATTCTTCCGGAGATGGGGAAGATTATTCCTGTGAACTACCAAATTTCGAGCTTAAGTTTTTTGCCTGGCCTCCACCTGAGAAATATGCAAATTTAAGCGAACAGGAGTTGAATCGGCTGGTTGAACAAATTAAGGCACTCGGCACTCGGAGAAGGACCAAAAAACAACCAACTGGTCTGTATCAACTTTTCGAGGTTAGTAATGCTTAGCGGGAATTTTACAGAGAATTTTTCAGCGATTTGGCGACAATAAAATTCAGCACAAGCTTTCATTGTAAAACTTTTCTGGCGTCGAAAACCATTTAAATGCTTTCGGCGAGCAAAACTTGTACATGAGAGTTTTAACAAATTTCTGTTATAAGTCTTGCATACGAAATCCTTCTGTTCCAAAAACCTTAAACATAATAGTTTTTCTGAGCTTTAATAACGGAAGTTTTATCAAATACTGGTAGCCTGCGATGAATTATTTAACTTAAGTTCCCTGGTTTCAGTTTTGCTCGATCGCTCGACTCGCTTGGTCGTGAATTGAACTCTTGAAATTGAAGAAAGAGCCGCTCGAAGGAGCGACTGCATCGTGCACAAATATAAACTTACATTTCTGACAATTTCCTTCAAAGGCCTCAGTCTTCTGTTCATTTAAGCTATTTTACCAAATAACGAAAGAAAGAAAGCCATTCATGTGTTCAAGTTCAGCCTTAGACGCGCAACTCATCAATTTAAAACGAAATGGAAAGGAAAATGAAACCCACAAACCTGCTATTGGATAAGAGCATCTCAAACAGCTCAAAGCCAGGGGTGTTTGTTCGCTTTCTTCTCCACTCTCGCTTTTAAGAAATGTCTAGTTCCATGTTGTTCTTTTCTTTTGCCGAAGAGGCCGTGAAGGACAGAGAGCTCAGCAACCAAAAGCTTCAACCATGTGCAGTTGGTTTTCAATTCTTGGGAAAACTTATCCAAATTTAAGTTTGACTAACTTTTGAGAAACAATTTTACCGAATGCAATTTTCGTTTGTTGTCAGGTTGATATTTAGGTTAACGAGCAGTTTGAAGTTGTTTGTTGGCCCGAGATCGAAAAAATGCAAACTATAAACTCGGCGCGATTCAAGAAAAAATTTTGATGTGTCGCTTTGTCGTTTTGAATGAACATTTTCGCGCGGTTTATCGCGCTTTTGACTTCATGTAAGCCGGACGATATTCAATATATACTAATCTCAAAAGTCTCAATGTTATAAAAGAAATGGTAAACGTGCAGCGTGCAACTATCGAGTTATATATGCACTTGGGAGGTTTGCTAAGCACTCAAGAAGATAGAGTCGCACTCGGCTATCGCCTCGTGCGACTCTTACGCGTCTTTCGTGCTTAGCAACCTCCCGCGTGCGTATTATAACTCGATAGTTGCTCGCTGCACGCTTACCATTTCTTAATTGTGAATGCCAGTACAATTAAGGATTTAAACTACGAGTGCTATTTGAGCCTAAAGGCTCGTGCAATTTGAAAGAATTTTCAAATATCACGAGGTCGAGAAATTTCTGCAATTTCTTGGCTATCAGTTAAAATTTCAATGCCTTTGTGACTCTTGAAAGTTTCTTATTCGTCTCTTCAATGTACTAAGATGTAGCCCATGGCTTTGATGTGTTTGTTTCCATTATCCGGAGCGTGTGTTGTTTGGTTTCCGGACGTATTGGAGTTGTCAAAGTGTCCCCCGGTGCCAAACCCAATTCTCGAGTCACAGCTGCTGCAGTCATAGTTTTCGTTCCCGACGAAACCGATCCTTGCTTTAGAATATGAACTTGAAGTACCTATAGCGTTGAACCCTTCTTTGTTACAGTTGAGCTGCAAAGAGGCCTGTGAACCAATCAGCGTCTTCCACTCCTCACGACCCAGTGAGGTGTTGCGGTATTGCCGTCAGCGATCAGTGAGTACAGCGAGTTGGCCTGCTTGTCGATTTCAATGAAACTGATTTGTTGGCCGATCTTCATTCCAAGACAGATCTTGGAGAAGGATGTGTTCCAGTATGTCGGTAACTTGGTCTCTTGTAAGTCAAACCCAGTCTTGCCTCCTTCAAGGTTATAAACATTTCTATCTCTCCAAAGATTAGAATTGTAATGGAACGCTCCCTGGAATTGAAAAGAAGAAAAGTTTCCCCTCCCGCAAAATTCTACTGACTGGCCATTGTCCAAATATTCGCTGATTCAATGAAGAATGAACATGACAATTCTCTCAGCGAAAAATTGATTTGAAAGTCTAAGCAGGTCTGTTAGTAGCAACGACACGTTACTGGAGTGTGATCATGCGAGCGCAAAAAAAAAAAAAAAATTAAATCGTTTTCTGGGAAATCACCGTCCGTGAATAAACGGGGGAGTTGTCAATGAACCCTTCAAGCATGTATTTAAGATATAACCAGTTTTGGGAATAGAGACTAAATATCTATTTCGCCTCAAAGCAATAAAAAAAAAGAAACCTTGGTCTAAATGAACTCTGGACTCGAATAGGAAGAAGAAGAGAGAAAACCGCTACGAAATGTGGGTGGTGTTGGGTAAAGGCTCTGTGCTCTGAAAATACAGTCGGCGACAATATTGTTCACACATTCACCCACTGTGGTCCTTTTTTGACTTCCTAGCTTGTCCTTTCAACCTCCCCNCCCCCCCAAACAATGTTGTGTGGCAATTGCTGTGATCTTGAGCTACAAACAAGCAACATTGAATGGGGGAGCGGGGTTTTTTGCACAGTTTATTGCGCTATAAAAAGAGTGGCGTTATTTGGTGCACTAAAAGTACTATAGCAAGACAATGTGTCAACTAATTATGTCGCCGATTGTAGCATGATTAGTAAATTATTACAAAGCGTTCTTTTCTTACTGAAGTATGCTTAAAGTATGTGTTATTGTGGCTACTCCTATGCAGGCGATTCCCTACACTGACATGCCCCAAGACTTCACGCAGCGTGGAGGTAGACAATACAAGGATGAATTTTAGCTAATTTTTGGCTGAGTTTTGGCCAAGCCCTTGTATAAAGCCATCTTATGTTGTTGCATACCTTATGACCATCCATCTTCATGGCCAGTGTCCATCCTCCACTACCGCATGCTCCAAGGTCATCGGTCATGTGACAGTAGACCGGAAGTACATCAGATCCCAACTTCAGCGGGTAGAATTTGTTACCTTCAGCCCTGAATAAGGAATATGAAACTTGAATACGGGAGCTGAGGGCAAGTTCATAAATGCAACGTGTACGAATCGATTAATAGATGATAATTAGTTATTACTCAATCCGGTTTCTCATCATAACTATTTTAAATAAAGTTAAAGTTACGTACAAGTTCATGTCATACAGTTCCTTGCAGCTTGTCTGAGGTTCTGAAGAAGAGAACATAGGCCTTGGTATGCGTAAATTAATATCTTGGTATTGCTAATAAGGCAAAAAGATCAGTAAAATATCTAACGGAAGTAGACAGAACTTCTTGCTGAGCTACAATAATTTAGAAGTTCAAAGTCAGACAATAAACTAAACCTTTAAAGGACAACTACCACGGTAATTCTGCTGCACTGGTCAATTTAAAACGGCAAAAAGCCGTAAACCTAAGATTTCGCTCATAAAAGAAATGCAGCTTAAAACACTAAGATGAAATGATTGCAAATCAGAATTGCATTTTATTTTAGCGATGCTTTCAAGACATGACAGGAAACATTAAAAAACTCAGTCCGGGTATGTCAATTTGAGATGAAAACCTAATGCTTTTTGCATACGCCAGTAGTTCGTAATAACAACCCTTTTCTAGCTTCAGTAACTTTTATAGCAACTTTGAGTAAACCTCGACCATTGTTTTAATACTGGCATTGATATACATGGAAGTATATTTTCAATCAGTTTGAAGGCATGCTCGTGAAATTACCCGAATCCAGACCAAGCAATGTACTCAATCTGAGCTGACGATGGAGATCAAACTTGAATAGATTAATCCAGGAGCCATAATCGGGGACGGAGACCGTAAGCGCGCGCTATTTCTAGTATTGGGGCTGTCCCTATGATATGGGACAATTTTTCTATTTTTAGAAC